ATATATAAACAAAAGAGGAATCAATCTGGGAGCCAAACACTGCTTATGATGGGAAATCAATAATGGTGTTTGACACACTTCTGTCACAGATGTTTATCATCACAGTATCTCCAAGTTACTTCAGTAGAGCAAATAGATCATTGCTGTACCACTTAAAGGAATGTTCTTCAGATTTTTAAATTCCAGCATGCCCAAATGCTGGTGGACTATGAGCCAGAGACCCCCAATCCATCTCCATCTGGCAAGATCAATCTGTTAACATCTACTTGGGGATGAAAATAAAACCAGTGAATCCCAAACGTGTATATTTCTTCCTTCCTTCCTTCCCTCCCTCCCTCCCCTTCCTTTTTCTTTCTTTCTCACATACCAGACACACACACTATATATATTATATATGTATATACACATATATGTGTGTGTATATACATACATATATATGTGTGTGTATATACATACACATATATATGTGTGTGTATAAGTGTCACTATCTTGTTGCATATAGGACTGTAGGGAAATCTAAATATTTTAGTTTCTGAATGACTTGAACTTCAGTGTTTGTCCACTCTGAAAAGTGAGCAGTTCAAGCTCCCTGATACATAGATGAAAGAGGATTGCTGTTAAGTTGGAATCAAAGTCGACTTGACAGCAGTCAGTTTTTGGTTTATGTCCTACTTTACCTTCTTCAATTATAACTTGTACATTTAAATATACAGTGATGCTTATAGGGTCCAAAAGTCATTGAAACTGCCTTGTCTGTCCTCACCAGTTTTCACCTGTGATTGGGTGTTGTTGTTTGTAGCTGTGTATTGTTGAGTCGGAACAACTCAGAGCTGATCCTTGCTTTTCAAAGGCAACCTGCTTTTCTCCTGCAGAGCAGCATGGTGGATTGTCAAGCTGCATGCCTTTGGGATGGAAGCTCAGCTCTGGAAGGTGACTACACGCTTTGTTTAATCACCACCTTCTATGCAGGAGAAACTGCTAAGTGTTCCTTTTCTGACAGATTTTCATCTTACCCAAGGCCTCACTTGAAAAGGTTTTACTGCATATAGACAGATGCTAGAATGTCATTAAAAGCTGCATATCAGTTTTAAAAATGAAAACAGCTTTTATCATATTCCTACGAATATGTTTAGAAACTTTTTTTTTAAATCGTCATTGTTATTAGGTACCATTGAGTTGACCGTGACTTTTAAGGACCTGAAAACTAGAAAATCTTTATTTTCTTTCTGATAGTTTACCAGTAAACAACAATGTACAAAAGGCACATTATTGTCAGGTCTCTTTCACTTTTTCATTCTTGATCTTTTGCCAGTTGAAAAATGAGCAAGTCACTACTATCTGTAACAAAATTTTAGCTAAAATCGCTCTTACATGCTTGGCACAGTACAGGAGAATAGCAGGAGTAATTTTTTATCGAGTATGTAGCTGATTACTGTACTATGCCAACTTTGTAGTAGAAATGTACTTTTCTGGCCTGCTCTAAATATTTGAAATCCAGGTATATTCTGTACATTATAAACTGAGTGAGAATATTTATACAACTAAAATTGGATAAGCCCATTAGTTGTTATTTGGAAGTTTACCTGATTTTAAATCATAAGTGAAATTTAAGATAATTTAAAAAATATTTATTGTGAAGGACAAAATAAGAATTATTAATACTCAGATAAATATAATTACTACTTTCATGTTTATTATCATAATAGTGATTAACTGAATCAGAAGTTATTTTAAAGATTAAACTTTATTTTAAGAAGACAAGAGTATGAAGAATTTTCTTGCTTTAAAATAGGTCTTGAGGAAGGAAGCTCAGGTGACCTAGTGGCAAGAAGCTGCACTGAAATCCCAGAGGTATGCAGTTCAAATCCACCAGATGCTCTGCTGGAGAAGGAGGGACAGTATCCTCTTGTATCAGTCAGATCGATTTGACGGTACACACACAAAAATAAAACAATAAAAAAATAGATCTTGTCTGATAAAACAGCCTAGATAGCTAAGTTAGCTAATATTGTTTATTTTTGCCAAAATGTAAAGAAGCCTAGGTCTAATTGTTGCTGTTGTTATGTGTCGTTGAGTCGCCTGTGACTCATAGCGATCCTGTGTACAGTAGTTCTAAACCCTGCCCTAT